GTCTAGCAAAGGGCCCAGAATGCTTTATATAATAATAAAAAAACCCTACTTTTCAATGCAAGCCATTAATAAAGCACAAATAACAGAGTATTGGGAATTATTGAAGCTGGGTGATGGGCACACAGAAGTTCCTTATGCTATTCGCTGTACTTTTCCTGTATATAATTTTCCAAAATAAATAGTTCCAAATAATTATAGACCTTGTAAGAAGTGAGATATATCCATCAGAATTTCACAGTTCCCACCTTAACTGGAGCTTCTGTATCTATAGCCAGAACCTCTGTGTGTCCCACATTTCTTTCTTTTCTCAAGGGAAATATATTTAAAGCCAAACATGTTGCTCTGAAATAAAATACAATTATGCCATGTTAGAACAGGTGCAGACCAAGGATCTTATGTCAAACATGAATTTATGGAAAAACTAGAAATTGACCATTTACACTGAGTATTTTATTGAGGGAAGTACAATTGTACTTTATGAATTTTTAAATCTTGGCTGAATTGTTCCAGAAGCATATTGTTCCTGGAGCTTCTGCTTCCATCCTCTTACCTCTGAACTTTAACATGCTCCCAGGTCGACCCACCTAAAACACTTGTCTGCCACGCTGCACCCCAAGTGAGTGCTTCAGCCACATCTCTCATTTCAACATTCCCACTTCCATGAGCTACGAACCACCACCCTGATCCATGGAAGCCACCTCCTGCCAATGCTTTGGGTCATAATTCAAGCTCTTTGCTTAGCCTGAAAGGTTTTCTCCCCATTCTCCCATTTGGGAAAGGTTCCACACACGGCAAGGTCCTATAGGACAGTTTGCTCTCCAGGAAGCCTTCCCTCAAGCCCTTTCCAGAATGCACCACTCCACCTGCACTTCTACCTGCCACCCTCAGGCTTATGCCAAGCACTTATCTCTCCTGTATATTTGGTAACTGGTCTCCCTTACCAGAAGGAAAGCTTACTGAGGATACATTCCTTTGCAACGCTCTCAGGCAATGCCTACCAGAGAACCCTGCACATACTACATTTGGGGTTCAAACTTTCAGAAAGAAAACTTTCATTGTAATGTTTTAATTCAATTATTTATTTATTTATATTTAGAAACAAAACTGAATACCATATTATTATATTATTTTGTATATGCATATTGTTATCACTTTCTAGAGTTACAACTGTTAACACATAAGAATAAATAAAATAGTTAAAAAAACACTTATATAGTCCTGACTGGTGTGGCTCGGTGGATTGAGCACCGGACTGTGAACCAAAGGGCCAGAGGTTTGATTCCCAGTCAGGGCACATGCCTGGGTTGAGAGCCAGGTCCCCATCATGGGGCATGCAGGAGGTAACCACACATTGATATTTCTCTCCCTCTCTTTCTCTTTCCCTTCCCCTCTCTGTAAAAATAAATAAATAAAATCTTTAATAAAAAGCATTTATATAGATACAGAATTGGTACTACCCATGTATAATGCACACCTTTATTTTTACCTGAAAAAATTTGGGCAAAAAAGTGTGCATTACACATGGCAAAATGTGGTATTTTAGAATTTAGTAAGACATACAGTTCATGCTAAACTATGAAATACTGAGATTAATCTGGTGAATATTCTTTCTATTCCCCTTATGAATAAATGGATGTGTTTAAAACCTCTAATCATTATATTAAAATCCCATTAGTCATTTTAATCCTTTCTGTAAATTGCTTTTGCTTCTTAAACCTTGAATTTCAATTGAAAGAGAATTATTTTATAAAAAGGGCTTTATCAAAATTGGAATCTAATTTAAGTAAGAGCACAAATGTTTCTCTTAACTCTTTTTTCTCCATAGCTAATCTCACCACAGATGAGAATTATCTGTAGATGATAACACGTAGGTAAGAATGCTTTATCCCAACACTAATGGGGACCCTCTTATTCCAATAGTTCAGAAGTATTTTCTAAATTAATCCATGCACAATATCACACTAGAGAAAGTAGTTCCAGTGAAGAATCATTGCTTCATGAGAACAGTATACAAGTTGAATGTTGCCTCAAAGAAGCTCAGGTTTCTGCTCTGGGCCTCATCATCTTCGCTTCTCCCCCCAAAGGAAAGGCTAATTTCCTGGCCTTATTCTGACCATATTCTGGTGGCAGTGTAGTGTCAGTAAAAAGTTCAGTAATCTACATTATGGTGGCTCTTATTGGTCATTTTATCATTTTCAGGTAGAAAGGATGAAGGGCTTGATAATCTAATGTTTTGTGCCTTGCTCTTTAACTGCCTTTCTTCTTGTTCCTCTACTTGCCTGGTGATCAAAAAGTCTAAGTGACATAATCTGAGAAAACACAGACAGGGACCTAGCCAGAATTTCCATGATCTTATTGGTCTCAGTACTGGATTTGACTTGGACTGGCCATTCGTTGGTAGTAAATATGAGTCACAGATGGTCAAAATTCAGTGCACCTTAGAGAAAAGGTGGTCAGAAGACCACTTGTTTGTCTTTGTCCTAATCCTGTCCCTATGATAACAGCTTGTGGTCTGGTTTAGCCTGATTATATGCCATACTTGGCTTCATCACTTGGGTTGGGATGAAAGACTTGTAGAAATTAAGTGGCTATTATGTGGTCTTATTTCCTATAACTGTATTTTCTTCAGATATTGCATAGCCTGTTCATGGACAGTTCAGGAATTCAGAAATTCACCAAATTTTCCACGTATGTTCTCATTAATCCTCTTTCTCAATGTTAGAGAAGAGGAACAAATAAAAAGAGCGTTGTAGCAGGAACGGCACATACAATTCAGTAGTCCTTGGTTCTGGCCCTGTCTCTGCCCCAAGCTTGTTTGCCTTCTGATAGACCACTTAGCCTGTCTAGGTTGCAGTCATCTCCAAAGTCAAATGAGAAAGGTGGACTAGACCACCATGTTCTAACATGTACTTCATAACAAAAAAAAACCTCATTTGTCAAAAATAAAATATATAGGTTATATCTCAAGTATTGTATAACCTACATCTTTGTATTTTAGCATGATCAAGGATTATACATTGAATCCAGTTTACCTAGCTTTCTGCACATTTTACATAATACCTATAAATATGTAGGTACATCTATATATATGTGTGTGTGTGTGTGCTGAAACATAGGCTTATATATAAATATGGATATTATTTGGGTATGAATATGGATATCCAGCCCAAGAAAGATGTTTCAGACTAGCTAAAAATTCTATGATTCTAGTTGGGGAAGTCTACTTCTCCTGTTGTTGGAAATCACATTGGAAGTTCTTATCTGAAAACCTTCAACTTTAAGTGACATAAAACAGGACCTAAAAAGTAAAAGCTGAGTCAATAGCAGGAGTCTTAAACTTAGGGCATTTGACTTGAAGTGTCCACATCACCAACATTGGCAATAAAGAGCAGTGTGCTATCCTAGAGCACCTTGAACGTTCACTTCCTCAAATCCCCCCATGATGGTTTCCTTTCCAGACCACCTCATCAACTTGTGTACAGCACACTAGAGTTGGGGGCTGTGACTCAACCGAGTCCAGAGCACAAAAACTCATATGGCGACAAAATAAAACAGAAGCAAATTATTCCACTCCCAGAAATTAAAGTTATTGTACCTGTATTTTATTATGACACCAACATTAGTGTACTAAAGCAGGAACCTCAGAATAATGCAGATTATTGTGTAGCACTCGGAGAAGTTGGTGAGGCATTGCTCTCTTCCAGGAGAAGTAAATAAAATTACTGTGTAATGTGAGAAAAGGAAGAAACTAACTTCCAAGGCTTTATTTAATCCCATTATAACATTATTGTCATGTATGCCTAAACAGAATTTGTCAGAGATTGCTTAAAAGAAGGTATGAAAATTACATGACAGCTTCTTACGCTCTTCTACTGGAATAAGCAGTTAGAACCTAAGGAACCCACTTTGTAGCATCAAAGGACATTTCTGAAGATAAGACACATTGATCATTACTAACAGGTTACCAGAAACAACCTGTATACCAGGTGTGCTTTGAGATGATACCATTTGAGCTAACAGATCTTAGAAAGACTATAGCACAGGCAGGCTTAAATATTTCCATCAACTTCCAACATGACAGACAACGTGAGAAGTAAATATTCATTTAAAAATTTGGCAATGAAAGATCACTCTCTTACTAGGAAGGAACATTAGAAAGTGTTTCAGGAACTCCACTCTTGAGAAGAAGGGAGACCTTGGGTGTGAAATTGACATTAAATGATAGAAATGATTCAAAGTATGTTCCTTCAGTAGAAAAATTATTTCATGAAAAAATGTGTGTGTATACACACACACATTGTTAAAGCAAAGTTAGTCAATATTTTTTCTCTTTCATCTTTAAATAATAAAAGTGATTTAGGTAATAAAGTTAATATTAGGTGGATAAAATATTTATTGGTAGCAACAGCTCTGTCTTCTGTGTATTATTTGTTCCCAGAAAAATGAGCAAAGTGGCTCACTGGGAAATATAAATGAAACAAAAACACATTTTTGCTAAGCACCCAGTAACTCAACTTTAAGCCAAAAGCTTACCCATTTTATATCATCACCAACTACCCAGCTCCACCCCCATGCCTCCTAACTAATGAGGCACACATGGATATTTCACTCACAAATCAAGGTACTGCTCCAGATGACAGAATTACTAATGACATTTAAGGAGTGGCAGCCAACATGAACCTGACAACCAAAAATCAACCTGTATTATCACCCCACAGGAAAGAATCCTCACTTCCCCCCTAGGAAATATATTTAACCCATAACATCACCCTAAACACCAACAGGTTTCCGATAGAAAGATAATGATGCAAAACCCCTTCCCTCCCAACCTCCAATATCTGGGTAAACAGAAATGAGCAGTACGTTACTAGGCTACTCCGTGGCAAGCTCGCATATTTTAAAACTTTCACATTGGTTATTAAGCCTCAACTTCTGCAGTGCCTGTATCCAGTTCTGAACCAGACCTGACCAATGGCACACACTGGGAGCGACCACTTTACCTTCGGAAAAATCAATCAGTCCCAGCAAATGAAGCAGCTTCAGAGATGCACATATAATCACAACAATACCCACTGTTTGCAGTCCTTCGGACTCCCACTCGAGAGTCAACATCCTTCAGGAGGGCAGAGCATCCCAGCCTCCGGACCCCTTTGGAGTGGAGGGAGTTAATGTGAGAATCCCAGCAATATCTGGCTTGGAACAAAGACTCCTGAGGGCAGAAAGTGAGCAGCTCCTCGCAGAAGCGCAGGGCCAGGCAGCAGCCACCCCGGGTGAGGACTGAGCTGGGCTGAAGTCCAGCCTCTCATGCTGATGTTGGCATTTGCCTGCTGTGGTCCCCCAACCACAGCGCGGGGCGCTGGGCTGGGGACTCGGTGCTGCTGCTGCCAGTGAGTACTTGGACTTCAGAGCTGCAAAAGAGACATCTGTTGGAGAGCTGGAGACTTTGCTGTGAGGGTGGAGAGAAGAGACACTCCCAGGAAACTTGCCCTGGAGAGCACGGTGGCACTCCACGCTGAATAAGGGATACTGGGCTGCGCAGGGCTGTCTCTGCTCTAGTTTGCTGCCTGGGAAGCTTGCATGTCATTCCCCCCCCTTTTTTTTTTGCCTTAGCAGCTGCTGTTTCTTTCCAGAGCTTGCATTGTGAGAGCTCAGACCCCTCTTGGGATGCTAGGAAAACATTAATTTCAGTGACTGGTGACTACAGCCCCTTTCAGAAAGCTCCTGTGGAAGCCAGTAGTCAGCTTTAGGGAGGAAAGGGCAGGAGCAAAAATTCCGTGATTCGGTGTCTTTTGCCACAGAACAGCATCCACAACGCCCCCACCTGCTACTCTCCTGGGACTGTTCTGATCCTGGCTGACACATGGGAATTGATTTAGTCCTTATGTTTACAAACAAGCATGGATGGAGGGTGGAGGAGAGGAGAACCCTCATAAGAACACTGATTTTGAGGAACTGCCCTCTGAAAGGTACCACTAGCATCCTTTGAAGTCTTGCTTCAGCCTGTCTCCAAAGCGAAGTTTGACAAACTTCCCTGCTGATAAAAATCACCCCAGGTGCTTGTTGAAAACACTCTCTTAGAGTCTGATTCAGAGGATCCTGGAGTTTGTGTTCTTAAAACCAGAAACTAGGTGACTCTTACCAGGGAGGCGTGGGCTGTGCTGTCCCAGAGGATCCCATGGGGTATTTGACGCCAAACTGGGCAAGCAGCCCAGGCATGGGATGGACTCGGGGCTGTGCCAGAACCACGCTGGCTTCACCGTGCTGCCCTTTACCTCCACGCCTCTGAAGCCCAGCCCCACAGTAGTGCTGAAGAGATTTAGTGGGCAAATGGGCATCCTGCTTGCAAAGGACCGTTAGCCCCTGGAACTGAGACACAGGACTTCTGGGGAATATCTTAGACCCGGGGAAAGGGACATTGCTTTTTTGTTTTTTTTTTAATTTTCTTCTTGTGCAATTTTCTGCAAGACACCCTCTCTGAAAAGAGTTTTTATTCTGTGAAGATGCAATTGTACTATTGTACTTTAATGCTTTCTTTAAATTTCTCCACTTAAAGGGAATCCTGGGAATTCAATGTGTTCATAATAATAAGTATTTACTGAGAACTGACTATGTGCCCATCAGTATTATAATGATTTATCAATAATTAATTCCCTCCTACAGCTCATTTTATAGAAGAAACAGAAGTATAAAGAAGTTAATTTACTTGCCAAAACTAGGAGCATAGTACTTAGTAGACAGTAAGTATCTACTCATTCATTCAGTTCTTCATCAACATTTATTAAGCTACTACTATGAGCTAAGAATGATCCAAAATGATGAAATAGCAGATAATGTCCAAAACTATGCCCTGGAGACCTACAGGTTAACAGAGGCAGGCATAAAATTGAATGTGGTCAATAAATGCACCAGCTCTTGAAGACAAGGCTTTACAGGGAATACTCGGAACACAAGAAGGGAAAATCAGTTCCCCTTGGAGAAAAGCAGGTGGTAGTAACAGGAAAAAGATTTTCTGAAGGAGGTCGCCATCATCAGTGAGGCTTTTATCATTTTTAGAAGTTGTACATCACACACAAACTTTGGGTTAGTCACTCTATCAACCAAGATGGCTGCCAGTCATCCATGGCATTTTGGTTTAAGAAGGAAATGACCCAAGTCACACTAGACATATCTGGCAAGGAGACACACCTAAGATATCTACATACAGGGCCAGAACAGTGTCTGCAGAGCGGGACCACCCACAGATAGGCTCCTGGGGAAATTCTCCACTTGCCATCATGGATACCAACGCGCTTACCTATCAAAAGACTCAGAAGGGTGGAGTGCACCACTCTCAAGGGTATAACTGAGGCAGGCTTCAGCCATTCTCAGATGGCTGAGCTCCACACACCAAGATGCTGCTCAATGCCACACTGATCTCCCTTGACATCATTCTCTGGAGGCTCATTCCTGCTGCACTGAGGACTCCATCTGCCCTGCTGTCCACCTGGCTCCAGAGATCCTTGTAAGATGCTTGCGGCTCCCTTGCCCACCATGCTATTTCCCAGACCTGCAGGCTGACACTCTGGGAGTTGGGTTTGTTACCCCCCAGTGTTGTTGATACTGATTGTTTCTGAGTGATTAGTATTGTTATTAGGTTACTATGGATTTGGAGTGAATCTGCATTAATAAAGTCCGAGTGACTAGCACAGTCACCTCTGTTGGCTCCGTGTTATTTCTCAGAGCCAGTGTCACCTGTAGGACTGGGCACACGCAGCTCAGTGCTTTTGGTTCTTAAGGTCCAGTTCTGATGACCTGCGTGGGAACTGAAGGCTGACTTACGGGAAAGACTATATTGTGAACACATGCTTGTGACAGTGACTGTCCTTCACTGGCCCTGACACTCCTCCTTGCTCCTGGGTCTAGTTCCTTTTTCTTCCCCATGAAGACTTCCTTATCAACCCGCCTACAGGCAGTTTTTCTTCCCTGGGCACCAGAAATACACTCAGGCCACCCACTTGGCTCTAATAATGGTGCATTTTATTTCCTATAATATGTTTATGGAAGATACCTTTCTATCAATCTGCCCAACCACTCGCCCATCTAACACATGTTGTTTATACTTGTGTCAGCAAACAAGTGAAGGGGATGCAATTCTCAGCAGCTGATCAGAAAATATGTCTTAAGTAACATTTCTCTGAAATTCCTGACAACATAAAGCTATAGAAAGTAAAAAGTTAAAAAAGAAAGTTACAGGAATTAATTAGGTCAAGTCAACTGCAATACCATATTATTGTTGAAAAAAAAAAAAAAACTAAGGTACAGAATTAAGTGACTTGACCAAGGTCACACACTAAAATATAACAGTTCTTGAATTCAAACATTCCTTTGTCTAATTCCCAAATTCATTCTTTCCTTTAATACCCCTCAGAAGATTTCAGCAAATATTTTTCAACTAATCTCTTGATTTACAGAGTTAAAGGAAGGATTTTAAAATTGCCACACCCATTTTCCAGGAAAGAAATCCCAATGATTCTTAAAATTCATGTAAATACCCACAGATAAGACTTTGTTGGTTCTAGGCAGGCCTTCCCTTCAAGAGGATGGCATTAGTGTAGGATCCATCAGGTGAGGTCTTGGCTGCTCAGCCTTTCCCTATCTGTTCAGTTCCTTTTACCACTACTGTTTTGAGCTCTTCCTGTTGCCTCCATTTATAGGATCAGTATTTATATTTATAAGAGCTCTCAAAGGATACCATGAGCTCTTTTGCATGAATTTTATAAGGTAATACTGCCATCAAAGAGTTTCTGGCAAATTTAAGGAAATTGGGGAGACCTGGGGAAGAGTGTTTTCCTAGAGACATTTCAGAAAAGAAGAGTCGGCTGCATATTATTATAAATAAATAAATAAATAGAATTCCAGATTACAGTTCTGTCACTTTGTTGTAGGAACTTGCAACATTTGCTGCATTAAATGCAGCCCCATTTGCTGCATTAAAGTATGCCCTGGCTCTTTCTCCTCTTTCCCAAGATCACACCTTTCTTTACATTGATTGTAAGGGGTATCCAGCAAAGTTTTGTCTTTCACACCAAAGAAAGGACTATCAGAAGGATAAGCTATCCTTTCCTGCCAACTTAACTCTAAGCCTTGCTAAGTACTTTACATGTATAAACTCATTTATTCTTGCTCCAAACCAGAGTTACGTGTTATTATCCCTACCTCAAAATAATTGGGATAATTTCAAAATTATCCCAATTTCAAAAATAAAAACCAAAGGTCATTGAGATTAAATTATTTTTACAAAGTCACATTCAACAAGGGGTGCAACCAGGGTTTATACCTGATTTACTCCCCATATAATAGCTGCTAACATTTAGGGAGAACTTATGAATGTCAGGTACTATTCTAAAATCTTTACACATATTCACTAATAAAGTTAAGGAAAATGTTAAAGTTAGATTTATCTACCTATATATTGTCTTTCAAAAATACAGACAGAAAAACAATGAATATAGAAACTAGTTAAGTCAAATCTCAGTTTAAGATTATTAGTCTATATTTGTATAAATGTTTAGAGATCATTTAAAGGTTAAATAATCCAATCTTTCTATTTTACTGATGCTTAAAAGAGGTACAAAGAAGAGAACTGACTTTTCAATCAAAGTGTCTGGGAAGCAAACAATGTTGACCCGAGTCTCATAGTTCTTCATTGTTTCTGAATTATTAACTACAGGGGACATCAGAATGATACATTAAGAAGTTAAAAAAATTAATTTCTAGAAGACACATTTCCTCCTTTCAGTCAATGGGAGCTAAGAGAAGCAAGACATCAATGTGGTTGGCATCATCTAGAAGATTCCATTGAAAAGAGAAGTCTCATCTAGGTTTTGAAAAATAAATGAGAAGAGGATAGAGCAAATGATGTGGACAAGATCGGTGTGTGATGCTTAGTGTTTCTGTTAATTACATTAGCCAAGATTAAAATGAAGGAGAGAATCCTAGAAGCAGCAAGAGATAAGGGGACAGTCACCTACAAAGGAGTTCCCATCAGACTGTCAGCTGATTTCTCAAAAGAGACCTTATAGGCAAGAAGGGGCTGGAAAGAAGTATTCCAAGTCATGAAATCCGAAGACTTACAACCAAGATTGATCTATCCAGAAAAGTTTTCATTTAGAATGGAAGGGCATATAAAGTGCTTCTCAAATAAGATCAAATTCAAGGAGTTCA